CACAAGCCATCCATAACGAAAAAGTATAGATAGGCAATATAATAGAAAATGCAAGGTTGGCCGCGTTTGTGTGGTTCACCGCCAAGTGCCCACACACCCGTCTGCCGCCAAAGCGTCACACTTGCACATATACATATGTATGCATATATATTTCAAACCATAAGGGGATGGGGGGCAGAAGGCAACTTACCTAAGACAGAAGACTACTCGAGCAAGAAGGCACCGATCCGACCCCCTCAAAGGTCCGAAAAAAACTTGGGAGCGCCCTCCGCATCGGCCCACAAAACCAAAAACTCATTTATAAAAAACAATCAAATATAACAGCATTGGCATTCCCGACATTCATCTCAAACTACACACTCGCATCACTGCCAAAGAGGAGGAAGAAGATAAGAGACAACTTACCTAAGACAGAAGACTCCTCCAGCAAGAACGCACCGACTCCCCCTGCTAAGGGTTCAAAGAAAACTGGGAAAGCCTTCCTCGCCGGCCCACAAAACATACATTCCCCCCAAAGAGAACTCATGGCCACCCGTAAACATCCAATCAGCCCATGCTCTAAAGCAGGGCAAAGAATTAGGCCGTGTATAATCATCAAAACCAACAAGACATATGTGGGTGTGTCTCTCTCTGTGTCTCCCTCTCTTACACACACACACACACACACACACACACACACACACACACACACAAACGCGCACACACGTGCACACATGAGCACACACACACACACACACACAGGAGGCACTGAGGGCAATTGGATGACAGAGGTGGCTGCAGGCCATTCGACTCCAATTAACAGTGGTGAACAAGAGCGGGGCAAAAGAAGCAAGATGACATGGCTGTTTGGAATCGGGTGTCCCGGTTATAGAGGGGGAAGATCCAGGGATGGCGGCTTTTATGAGAAAAGAGAGAATGGTCACGATAGTCAGGATCAGATCAGAACAAACATTATTAGAAACAGTTGTCATATATTGTCACATGTGAGCGCACTGTATGAAACAAATGATAGAAATACAGAAGACAAACATGAAGAGCATACTGGCATCGTTCTTTTGATCATTTCTTCTTTTAGCTCCCCCCTTCACTATGCCTCTCACGTACAACGCTCACCACGTTGCTGAAGTTTGGCATGAGCTGCCCGGATCCCCCGTAAGCCATAATGGCCCACTTGTACGGGGAGGGGATAAACAGAGAGAAAAGATGGAAAGAAGACAAAGCAAAGGAAGACAAAGGGAGATTAAGGGAGAGTAAGGAGTGTGGAATGAAGATGAAAGCATAGGAAAGGGTAAGAGAAGGCTCAAGAATCAGTCTGTTCTTGAGGACAGAAAGGACATACATTGTAAGGATGAGATGGATGAGGACATGGAAGACCTTGCTGAGCATTCTCAGTACAAAAATTGTCATGCTGGCTGCCATTGCGCATGCCCACTAAACACTCCCAACAAATGGTATGTCAATGGCAGGCCAACATGAAGGAGGAACGGGCACCACAAAACACCCATGGCCGCAAAATGAACATGAAGTATCCGGATGCGGAGGGTGACTGCAGTCAGGAAAGGAGGGAGAGTCCTCTGCACACATGGGTAGAGAAACCATGTCACTAAGTGAATTGTCACAGAGATGACGAAGCCTGCAGCAGAGTGTAACAGTGTTTGTAGCTGTGCAAAGGAGAAGGTCACAGGGTGTTTACACATTGTCCCGCTACCACACAGGCGCAGAGGAATGAGCTTCGGCATAAAAGAGTGTATGGACAATTTTGTGTGGTAGGAAAACAGCGTTTTTATAAAAGAAATCGGTAACATCAGTCATGGCATGGACCATGGTGCCATTGTCCCACAGCTCGCACTCCTCAGAGCCATGTACAATGGCCATGTAATGGCCAGGTCAGCAGTGCAGGCAGAGATGTGGGTTGGAGGATGAAACCGCTCACCTGCCTGAGCATTGCATAGTTCAAGTTGGTGGTCCCTCATTGATACTTGTAGGACCGCAACTGTAAAGCTTCCATCCCTTTCAGAATTACCATCCTCTGCCTGTATGCAGGCAAGATCAGCATCAAGCTGAAGGGCAATTGCAAGAAAGTCCAGCGGTGTACAAGGCGGGCGGTAGAGAATTTGCAGACAGATATTAGTTGCAGCCAGACCACAGGGGAATATCAGGCTGGACTGCTGGATGCTGGCCAACAATTTGAGGATCACTTAGACTAGATGGTTTTGCAAGCTCAAAATGCCCTGGGCCGTTTGCTGGTCGGTCATTTGCAGATCACCAATAAGGTCTACACCTTGTGGGGCAAAAATCTGCACTTCAGCCACACAATGCCGGTCAGCCATTTGCAAATCACCCACCTTGTGGGGCAATTTTCCAATTCGGGCAAATAGGCTGCTGATCCCAGGGCCAGCGACAATGAGGTGCACACCGTCGATGGTACACAATAAGAGCAGTGGTGTGGCAATGAAATACTTACGGTGAGACCACTTGTCAAGATGACTGCCATTAATAAAGAAGCAAAAGCAAATTGGGTGGTCAAAGGCAGTTGGACAAGGAGGGAGTTGACGTCGTCACGTGAGGAGGGGATCCGGATTGGGCTTCACAATGGCGGGGAAGGACATGGAGGGACACCACAATTGCAGGATTGGAGCTTGGCCAGGAAGGAGGGTATGAGATCAGTCGTGACCAGTAGCCATCAGCAACGATAAACGGAAATGTTTTAAAACGGGCGGGGGCATGATGGCTGGAGGAGAATTTTTTGGAATTACAATGCAAAACTTTCTGTGAAGGCATTTGCCAGTTAAACTACCAAAGGTGCCAGGCCAGGAGCTGGGCCCGGGCAGCCAGACCCGACCGGCCTAGGAAACTTTGGGATATTCAAAAAAGAGGTCAATTCCTCTTCCCCCACCCTCTCCGAATCTGAGTCTCCTCTGGTCCTGCTCTTTGCTGGAGCAGCCGCGATCCAGCCTCATTTGCTTTTGTTCGTTGCAGTCCCCGGGTCCACAGGAGGGATTTGGGGGCAAGTAAGTAAAGGGAGCCTTGTGATGATGACAAAGAACAATGACGATGATCAAGCAGTGCTGGTGCAGTAAATAGTG